GCTAAAATTTTTAACATAGCAATAATGTTAGAACTTATGTTTTTCTAATATTATTGTTTTGATATTATTTTAATAATACTTTACATAACTACTCGTACATTGTGATAAAAAAATTGAAATTTAAAATATTGCTTTCCTAAAGTTCCCATAAAAATCTATCATATCTAGTAAATTTATATCGGTCAAGGAAAATCACAAACATATTTCTTAGATTTCCATTGTCGGTTTTACTTATTTACTTTTTAGTACTTATAAAATTCAGATTACAACCAGTCCAACAAATATAAAATATATTTGTTGGACTGGTTGTAATGCTATGGAACACTCTGCTCAACATATTGCTCATCTCACATTCCTCGCTCACATCTCTCATTTTATAACTTATGGAAGCTGGTAAGACCCAAACTCTGTGTAGTGAAACATAATATTTTAAATAACTTAAATTGATTAATTCCCAACACAGATAGCCTATTAATATAAATTGCCAAGTAATTGTTCCGTTAGTGTAAAAGGTGTGAAAAATAGAAAGGGGCTGTATGACGCGATATGAAATTGCAATGAGGCAAGGTCGGCCTTCCGGGAGATGGTCGGCGGACAAATCCTGCAAATGCCTTCATTACATACACGTCAACCCTCTTCTCAACGCGTCTTCGTCACGCCTTCAATCTCTTCGCGGATATTACACTTAAATTATGATATTATGAAAGGTGCATAATGAATCATTGTCTCGAAATGGATGACTTATTTTAACTCTTACTAATAATTGTTAGACAAAAGCATACGTTATGGTCGTATAATAAATTTCATCAATACAAGATTTTTTTATGGAAAACAATAAAAGTAATATATTTTGGTAAATCAAAATAAAACACACAATACATACTTGCTGACCCAGCAAACGTTGTTTTGCCGGGTCAGTTAGGTCAAACGGCGGTAGGGAGCCGCCATCATTTTTCTTATGGGGATAAAAACTATCCCATCTGAGCGATGGGAAAGTTAGAACAAATCAATACACATTTTAAAAAATCATTAATATCGACTAAACAGTTTCAAAGATTAGCTGTCGTGACACGTATTAATATTTTTTCATTGGCGTTAATGACGAACTTCTATAAGACAAAGTAACTAGCACTCGAAAGCATACCTTATGCTATTTTTACATAGGGTAATCAGAGAAATTGTATCAACTACTGTTCATTTACAATTAATCTCCTCTTGAGACAACGTAAGTAAAAGAAGGACAGGCACCACATTATACTCGTATTCTCCTCGTTTCCAGTCCGAAAATGTTTTCAGAGATACATTTGTAATTCAATGTTCCTAATTAATTTAAATTCGGTAATACGAAAATTACAACTAGAACTTCCTTTGAAATATTAATATTAACGCCCTCTAACTAAGAAAAGTTTAACAATTAATTTACTTTTTTAGTATTTAAACGTAATAACACAAAGGCAATACATAATTCGGGCTTGCGAAATTCCTCTTTTAAAGAAATCAGTGGTCAACGACCCCTTTGCCAAGACTACTGGTCTATTCATTCATTTTTAAATAGCACGATGAATGGTGCTTCATCGTTTGAATATAAAAACGTAATTTATGTACTTACGCCCAACAATAAATTCCAAATGGAGGAAGTAAGTATATTTAAAATTAGGGCATCGTAGCAATATTTGAAAAGGCAGTACCTACCTATAGCCCATAAAAAGGTGTGCCATTACAGGTTTATAACATTATTAAATCACATTTGATGTTTATGTTTACGACTAAGAATATTTATAATTATTTCAACGACTTACTGCCGTATCAGACCTATTTATATTTAAAACATAAATAATAATGTAGGTACTTAATTAGTCAAAACTGTAGTATATTAAAAACACGATTGAAAATTTGCCAACTTTATGTACTATGACCAGTATAGAATATATACTATAGAATAGCTAATTAATAATCAGTACTTGCCTGTTTCTTTGTCTTCTAGTATTAAATTCCAAAAAATATATTTTTATTTTAAATTTGGAAAAGAAAAATACTTATACAGAATTGTAGAAACATTGTCAGATTCTAATCTGCTCGCTATAACTTATCTATGCTACATATAACTCATCCAAGGCATAATGTTACTCGCTCAATCCCTAGTTGTGAGGACGGTCACCTAGTTATAATACAACTTTGTTGTTTATTACTTGAAATTATGTTGATGTTTAAAATACAATACTAATATGAAGCTTTGATTTTGAAACATCTTCGCTACATCGTTCCTCGTTATTGTTCAATTTAATAACAAATTACACTTCTTATTAATTCACGTATTCAGGATAGATGCGATATAGTATTATTTACAAATGTCATTTCTTTGATATTCAAAGCAGACAGAGTGACTCAGAATTATGACGAAATAAATAATCCTCTTTTGCTTCTCCTGAATTGGTTTTAACAATCTCGTGATAAAATCAAAATGAGTAAATTCACTTTTTAGGTATCACAAACCTAATTCTACTATTAAAATAAATAACGTTATTCTTGACTTAGCCGACTGTATTGCTTTTCTTGGAATCACTCGACAAAAAATTCAATAGGGTGCTCATATACAAACCCTTCCGGCTAAGCTGAGTTTTGCGGCTTTTGCAGTAGGTACGCATTTCGAACAGTACACTGATATTGATACTGCAAAATTGATATAATTCTGTTATTTTCATAATATCTTGTTTTATGAGATATTATTATGGGAAAAAAACAGCTGATATTCACAATATATTTTATACTTGCCGTGTGGTCTCGGCATAGATAGGTTACCCCTTCCTTTCCTCGGGATGCCATAAGAGGCGACTAAGGGAACTTAATGTTTGAGAATGGACGGCAGCATCCCACTTAAAACATCATCAAATCTTACCGCGGTAGCCAATCCGCCTACCAAGATTGGCAACAACTGGCAAAACCCCTCAAGAAGGAGGCCTATATTTAGCAGTGGATAGCTAACGGCTGATATGATATGACTGGAGGGTAAGTGATTGTTAGTAACGAGGATCTGACAACAACATTGCTAGCAATATACCCTATCAGGACGATCTCCATGCGATTCCCTCTAGAAACTATTTTGGTTAATTCTTTTTGAATTCGTCGCTATAGGCCAACCAACCTGTTTTCCATACTAACCTATTATCACTCATTGGTGCCCCGCCAGCGTATACCGGTAGCGCATACGGGGTTACCATTCCATTATCACCCATTGATATAATATGACTGTCTGGGAAGTTATGTTTCACTAAGGAAGAAATTTAAAGAGATTAATATTCTTACTGTAGCTTCACAATGTGTATCGATCGATTTTGTGTGTGTGAGAACTATCATTTTAATAAAAAAAAATAGTCATGTTCACAAACTCGATACTAGACATAAGTATAAGCATGTTGTTAAAAAACATTTAGAAAAAGTAAATCGCCATTTTTTAGAAATTATAATTTTTGAATAATTTTTTTTTTATACAACTTAGAATGGCAAACAAGCTGACGGCCCACCTGATGTAAAGTGGTAACCGTTGCCTATAGACATGAGCAGTACCTTGGACATAACAGAGTAGGTATACTGTTTCGCCCATGATACCCCCCAAGCGTCACCATTCTTGTGGACTTAGGTGTTATTCCTCTGTACCCAGTAAATTCACGCCACATCCCATCCTTCAAACCGAAACACAGTCATGCAAACACAACTGCTTCACGGTTGAAACACGAATGGGACAGAGGTACCCAAGCAATCGACTTTTATACAAAGTCCCCTCTGTTGAATTTACGTCTTTATAATAAAAGTCTATTATAAAATAGATCCTATCTACTTTTCACCAATTTAAATGTTTTAATAAGAAAATTTTAATGAATAAGACCTATTGTACAATAAAAATTTACATACAAGACAAACATGTCAAGTTTTAAGTGATCATGTATGTGTTATTTAAGTTACTGTCTATATTATAAATGAAGTCTGATATATGCCTGAACATATTTTAACATGTAATTCAATATAATATTTACAATAATGGACTTGATTTGTCTAATAATTTAAACAAGTATTGTGCTGTTTGCTGGGCTGTATTGATAATTTATAATTGTAAAATATTTTTTCTTAGAATAATCAACGGTTGAGTTCCTTGCCCGTCCTTTTCTACTGAAATTATATTCCAAGTAGACGGTAGAATTATAAAAAAAAAATATTCAAAATGCTTATAATTAATTTTATTGAATAAAAATATTCTTATTATTATCATTTTTGCTTTCAAACTCGTAAATGAAAAATAATACACTTACTTTAGGATAATTTAGATTTAGAGTAACTACGAGTCAAATGAAAATATGTGTACTAAGCATGTATTGTATAATTATAACAAAGTACCTAACTCATAATTATGTATTATCTTTTGCTGCTATCGCAGACTCGCCACACGGCATGGTTAAAAACCACATAGGGATTTCTGCTCGTTGACAATATGACTCTTCGAAATATATTTAAAATAAGCAATAAAAATATATAAATTAAATTATATTATTTTTAATATAATATCTTAATAACTTCAACTGTGCATCTTCTACCGAATTTATCATGGGGAGTGTTCTGAGGAATTGTTCGGATTGATACCTGCTGCTGATTTTCACCACCGTACAACCCGCCACAAACTAAAGTTTCATCCCAATCATCTGGACGAGTGGCGGTCTTCCACCGTGCGTTTTTCAAGGCACTTTCTTCCACGCACAACCATTCTTTGGAATCAACTTCCAGCAGCAGTATTTCCGAACCGATACGACAACATAACCTTCAAGAAAAGAGTACATTCCTTTTTAAAAGGCCGGCAGCACACCTGCAATGCCGCTGGTGTTGTGGGTGATCATGGGCGGCGGTAGTCACTTACCATCAGGTGAGCCGCATGCTCGTTTGCCCCCTGTGTTGTAAAAAAAAAAAAAAAAAAAAAAAAAACTGCAGTAGTAATATTTTTTTTTTATTTGCAGGTCTCCTCCGACTGCAGCAGTTGTACCAGAGCCTCCAACCAGGCAACGCTACATTCAGAATTTCCAACGTAAAACGAGTCAACAACGCGACCGATGTTGTTGAATTTCTTACAGCAATAGAGCGGCTCGACCGCTGGAGTAACAAATACGTTGTACTTGATTCAACAACACAACTCGCGAAAGATGCTCTAATTTTGCACGTACGTGATGTGCAACTTGGACGTAGAAACTACCATTATTTCCTCAGTGGACTAGTGAGTAATCCCCTAACTCGTTAGTGACGTAGCTATATTTTAAGTCTATACGTATCATTTTATTTCTGTTTACCTCTACAATTTTCTGGTGTCCTGGTCGTCGTATTGCTTCTTGCCAACTATTATCACGACGATTTTGGGTTGAATGAGGTAAAAATTCGCGCAAACCAGGTTAGTCATGATTATCTAAATTACAAATTGTAATGCAACCAGGATCCCATCCATAAAGTCCAGTTTGCATGCATACTGTAATTATATGCTAGACTTACAGTATAATTATACAAAGTTAACAACAACTCACTTCTTGTTGGTACTGTTTTGCATGTATGAACATACATCGATATTGTAATATAATAATATTTTATAATATACAGAACCTATATTATTCGTGAATTAGACACGAAATTAACTAATTTCGTGAAATCAAAAAAATAAAAGATGTGTAGACGTTTTTTTCCTCTGTATTCTACACTGTTCATTGTTGTTTAATTAAACGTTAATCAAAATGTTGTTACCTCAACTAAATAATGTCTTCGTGGGGACATTTCCCGTATATTTTATTAGGTAAAATAAATGTTTTTGTAGGTAGATACCGGTCTTTCATCCTAACAAATGGCTTCGAACGGCGAAATGTGAGGATCAAATATCGGTAGCTGGATGTAGCGGCACAACATGATCCCAGATCCATTCAATTAATACAGTATAGTTTACGGCTTCCAATATATTTTATGTTTGAAGTAACAAAATTACATCTGCAGTTGTATTTAGCTAATGAAAGTGTAATATCTCTCTATCAATAGTACGATGTTTTGCTTTCGTTTTAACAGACTATTACTCGTATTTGCTGCTAAATGAAATAGTCGAGATTAAAAAATAATTGAAAACCGATTCATGTTGAGTATAGTTGGTTTTATTAGCTATTTGATAAATTACTGGAAAACCAACGGTTATGTACAAGTATTTTCTAAAATTGATTACAGATCGCGTACTTTATTACGAGATTAATTTTGAATATTGCAAATACACCCTCCAATAGAGAATACCAGAAGGGAATGGCCCCCAATCGTTCCTTATGACAGTCTGGAGGGGAAGCCTATGTTCTAGAACTTCCTGGTAATGGCTCATACTATGATAATGATTACAAATAGAAAATTTATATTTCATACCTTGTTTGTAAGATGATGATTTGAATATATTAACATTGTTTTCTTCATAAAAAAAAATTAACATAAACACTAAAACCTATCGTAGACGAAAAATAATTCAGAAATAGTAAAGATATATTATAATGTAACTAATAAAGAAAAAAATAAACGATATAGAAACTTCCTTTTTGAATTTGCTTTCTTAAAAAAAAATCCTTTTATTTATTTTACATTAAAAATACTAAAAAGTTTGTACATACCACAAATTACAGTAAGTTTACATTCTTTAGTTTATGGAACAAAAGTTGATGCACTTTGTGCGAAATCTGGAACCCCGACTAAGCCGTGCCCTCTATCTTGGAGATCAGGTTCTCTTACATTAAACTCGTGAGGTTGTGCAATTAACGCAGTTAAAGTTAAATGTAGAGTGTAAGGGAATAACTTAATTATAGTTTATTTGGTGTAAACTAATCTTTGAAGTGTAAAAAGTGTGAATGTGTTTATATTACTGTATAAAGATAGGTGTGTGTATAATTCTATGTATGTATATCTGTGTATGTTTTTTACTTACTCTAAATAAACAAAAAATATAGAATGTACAATAGTCATTAGATGTATAATGTGGCTTTTTAACATCTTTTCTACTATTTATTATATGAAATACAGTTTGTTTGTTACCTCTAGGCATTTTAACAGTTCACCCAATCATCATAAAAATATTATATACACAGCATTTGATATGGAGAAGCATATAGGCTACTTTTCCTAGTTTTGTCTACGCAAACAAAATCACGAGCGTATATAATTGTATTGTATTTCATCAGCCCTTAACTGCCCACTGTCAGCAGCAGCGTAGCTTCCCCCATAATGGGGTTTTTGCCTGTAATTGCCACGCTTGACAGGTGGGTTGGCAACCGCAGTTTGGCTTTTGGTGATGTTTTAAGAGAGACGCTACTGCCCATTCCTTGACCTCGAGCTTCCTTAGTTGCCTCTTATGACACCCACGGGAAAGGAAGGGGTAGCCCATTCTATACCGGGGCCTACACGACTATAAAAAATAAAAGAATAAAATAAAAATTCGAATTTTCATTACAATACTGAATGTAACCCATAATCCTAATGACAATAGTTTTCGAACTAAAATCTCAACTATTTATTACCATTTCCATCAGAGTGTATCCAAACCATTGATTTCGCGTTTACTCTATTTAGAATTAGAGGCATACAGATGCTATGATGTGAAATGAACTGTAGAGGAAGTTTCTGTTTCAATCAGTATTTAATGCAGCTAACTTGATGCTTGTAAACTACTTTGATATACTGATAAAGATTTTATACATGTCCAAAAAAAATATTTAATGTTTTTTGAACTAGATTTCTTAATACGGAACACGCGTACCACTTGCGGTACATCAGTTAATCGTAAGGGTACGCGGCAAAATTTACGTAATAGCGGCAGGTTAGTAGATTCGACCGGATAATAAGCATGACGGTGTATATGCGATTAAACATTAAAATTAAACTTATATACATGATAGTGGATTTTCACACCTGATCATGTTAAAGACAAAATAAAGGAATCGACTGAATGCTAGATCTGACTTAATAATTTAAGAATTTCTTCAAAACAAGCACATGTAACATACTAAATTGACTAATCAGTTTTTTAAGGGGTTCGTCGTGGTCTAGAAAGCCTAATAGGGGAACGTTGAGTTATATTTTTAAGAAACCCTATTTTATTAGAAAATAAATAATAAAAAGTTGATATTTTTTATAGAAGCCTTAATTCTAATATGAATGGTTGTTTTTCATGTCATTAGATTTATAACAATATAATTTAGAATTAAGTTATGAACAGAAATTTTATATTTTATAATATTATGTTAGTTTTTTAAAAGTAAATCACATACGAATACAAAACCTATTTTAACACAGGTAATGGACGATCGTTGGGAGAAAGAAGTCACAGAATTTGGAGCCATTAACATAACTGGATTTAGAGTCCTAGACTTCTCTAGAAAAGTAGTGCGGGACTTTATAGACGTGTGGAAAAAGGATTCAGTTTCGGTGAGTAATTTATTTTATTACATGGTAAACAAAGTTGAAAATATTTTGCAAACTATTGAACAATGCTGAGTACAGCATACTGTTATACAAGCCAGTAGGCTTGCATGGTTCTATTTCAATTTGAATGGATATGGCGGTAAGATTATAGTATACGGAAGTGTGACATCATTGTCTTCAGCAATGAACCATGGTCATCACATGTTATCTGTCCGAGGTTCTGTTCTTTTCTTTAAATTACGGTTACCACTTTCCATCAAGTGTACCGTTTGTTTAGGTCTTCGATTTCTTGCTATTCCCAATTGCATAACTCCTTAAATATATTTCATTTTTATCAAGTATTCCATGTTTCATATACCAAAACCGCTAAAAATACAAAAGTAAAAGAAAATGTGTTTAGCTAGTTCTCTGAATCCCAACAATTTCGTAAAGGTGGCTTTTTTGTTGGATTTGTTTCTTAATTTAGATCAAATTAAGGCCAGTGTCGGCTCCATACATGTGTAGGTTTCTTTTCCTTTTAAATTCAGCGACAATGTCAAAAGAGGTCTCAAGTAAGCCAGAGAAATTTAGGTATATAACAAACCATTCATTTTTGTACCTTATTCAAGCGTAGATACGTTATGTATGTTCCGTTTATTGTCTATTGCTGAACATACGCTATATGGGGAGTTTACACTCTTACAGTAGTTGCCACTCTTGACAGGCGGGTTAGCAACCACAATTACGCAATTTAGTGATGCCTGAACCAAACAATGGCGAATATTTCTTTATAATCTTGTTTATTTATTATTATTAGAAAATCAAAGAAAATAATATGAATATTTTTTTATTTAAATGTACCCGTTTATATACAAACTTTTTTTATATCATTTATAAAGCACATTATTTTTACTATAAGATATATGCGTAAATTCATTTTAAACAGTTTACATTACGTTATATATAGCATTCTTCTTATTATTACACATTATGTACGTTTCATCATGATAATCACGCTTCCTAAATTGAATTGTAAGATTGACTTGCAAAGTCGAACATTATTCGCATCAACGTAAAGTGATGAAACACTGAAGAAAGAAAGGAAGACTGTTCATTGAGATTCGTCAACGCGAGTTGTCTGTTAGTGGGGGGTCACATTGGAGGGCCCGGGTGGCCATTACATATTTACGTGATAGTAATATAAAGTCGCTACTGACGGGACAATTTTCCGTAAAAACTCCCGAATCGTTATGAATTTGTATTCGTAATTATATATTCAGTGGACGAACTTGTTTAACACTCGTTTTTTTAGGGAAAACATCTTCTAACAGCTTTAAGGCAGTATAGATTGGTACTTTGCTTAATTTATAACCGAATCACACTGTGTTTCAAACTATTACTCCAATGCCACTTTCTTAAATTACCTCGTTGAAGGATATTATTCACTTCCGTTGAATTCAAGATATTTTATGATTAATGTTTTATTTTTTTACACAGAATGATTAATCTTATCAATATTCTAAACGTGAATGTTTATGAAGATATTTGGACGACAATTGAGTTAAAGTAGCAAAACAAATTTGAATAAAATATAATTCCCAGACTGGCCACATCCTAGATTACTCATAATATACTGTTTAATTTTTATTCTTATTTGTACATTAAATACTGTGTGTTATTGATAAAAATATATTCATAACTTTTATTTTCTAAATGACTGATGAAAGTAATAAAATAAAAATGATTAATAAAAATTCAGTTCTATAGTGCAACAAGTGTGCACTTGCAAAATGTCATTCGAGCAACTGGGTTGGAATTTATGCAAAAAGGACAGTAATGAATTTAAATACAATAGTTATGAGTAATTGTAAAAGTTGAAAACGCTTTCATACGGGATTTAAAGTTGTAATTTTTTAATCATTTTCAATAAATACTAATACTGTATATGTGAATACTATCAATATAAAATCTTAACCACTATAATTCTATTTTAAAGGTAAATACCAATTTATATAAATTTTAAGACAAATATAGACCAATCACTAACCTGTTTTATTGTACACTAAAAATATATTATATACTCTTAAACGCCTTTAAGGTCCCGGCCAAAGGATAAAAGGTTCTAAGAAATTTGATTTCTGCGATGGAAAAGGGTGTTGAAATTGGGATAGTCCGACATCCAATTCCATAATATAAATAGAAAGTAGGCAAAATGGACTAAAATATAGCTACCTAATTATACGTTTAAATATAAATTTACACTTACCTATAAGCACATTGCTATTAAAGTTTTGACTGATTTAAATTATAAACAACATTGAATCTATTCATTTTTTAATTTACGTTGAATAAAATTACATACCTGCCTTAGCTTAGATTTTTATGTATTTAAAATATTTAGCTGAAAGCAATAAATAAAGTCTTTACCCATCTTTTTTAAATATGTTTGTTTGTTATGTCATGGCGCTTTAATGACTTATCCAGTCAAAAATTGGCACAATAAAACAAAATATGACATATATTAAGGTTTTCAAAATGGGCAATAATCGAATGATAACCCTTCCTGCTCTATTGGTTTACAATGGTAGGTATGGTATTAATAAATAGGCTCATTATGATAAATTTACCAGAAACATTTCTTTTCCCTATAAAGATTCGGTTGGTTATTTGGAATAGATAAAGACTTGGGCCAGTACTTTTTCCAATCTATGAATATCATAACCACGCAAAAAATCAGGCATAGCTAGTTAATAATAAATTAGTATTAAATACTTCTTTTATGATTTTCAAACAGGCTCAAGCAGCTCTCATGTACGACGCCGTTCAAGTCCTAGTCGACGCAATATTACGTCTTCTACGAAAGAAACCTGATATTTTACGAGGTACAATGCGACGCAACGCGAATTTAAACACGAGCAGGATTATCGACTGTAACCCTAAGGGCAAGATAACACCATACGAGCACGGTGACAAGATATCCAGGATGATTAAAAAGGTATAAAAGGTTTAGACTTAATTATAAATAGTCAATATATTTGTACATATTCTAGCGGAGGAATTTTAAATACGAGCAGTGATTAACGTGCCACGTTTTTATGTTGACTATTAAAATCAGAACACTTGTTGCTGACGAAATATATTTACGTGGCACTCGGTCGCTGCTCTGACAACAATTGTATTCATTTACTCTTAACGTTTTTCAGGTGTAAAAATATTGGTTATGATTTTTAGCATTTGTAACAAACCTATTCTTTGGAGTCATTTTAAATTCCCTATTGCCCGTGCGAATGATTGATGCCAATTCATATATTCAATTAGGAATGCGAGCGAATGCTTCGTTATTTATGCGTGTGGGATACGTAGAGTTGGTTTTCTCATTGTGAATATGTAAAATTTCACGACGATACGGACAGTGTAACCAACCCGGTAGTTACGCTGTCCTAATCACAGCATCTCCGTGAATACAAGGTACTACTGAAACTAATGTTTCAACAGTGTACTAAGTAACGCCATGTAAGTACTACTTTAACCTTGCGGGCACCACTAATAAAATTATTATGCCATTTTAATTATTAGAAATCCTTTTATTATGAGCCCGCTTTAAAAAGGAATCGTGTCGTGTCCCGCCGCTGGAATATCAAGCTACGAGAAAATTACGACAGCACTAGAAATATCGCACTCACATTCACAGTAGGGGTCGGTTTCCAAAGAAGGTGTGCTTAGACAGAGTAAAAGATTAATTCAGTAAAAATCTTTTTAATTAGTAGCTATTTTACTACACGAGTTATTTTATCTTTAAGTAAATTAAAACTCCGGTCTTTTGTACATGGTAGATTTTATTTTGTAATACAGATTTCTTAGTGGATTGGAATTCGATAGAATAGAATGACGAAGGTATATTATAAGTGATACAATATTGTAATGTTTACAAATATTCTTATATATTTTCACTAGCTTGAACCACAATAAGGTTTACTCTACTAGTTAAGAAAATATAAAAGGAAGCATAAAGCGAAAAAGCCATGCAGAATGACGTACCGCTTATACGGCAAGTGTCCTCTCTTTGTGGAAACATAAATTGTGAAGGGACGACTCAAGTTGCGGGGCTTTAGGGGCGGTGAGCTTTAGTTCACAGTAAATGTAGTTTTTATTTCTTTAAGTAAAAAATCTCGACGTCTATAATACTTACCCCATATCAAATTTTACGTCTGGCTGTGACGTCACCATTATTATCTCCTTCACTATACGAAGTAAACTGATGTTTTTTCCATAAACAAGAACTCACCTGAAGAATTTATAGACTATGTTGGTATAGTCAAACCACATTATCTAATACTAATGTTCGTTTTTTCTAACGATAACTTCTATATATCGACACGATAGTTATAACTTTCTATTCCATATCCTGATAATGAATAAGAATAGTCCTGATAAAATATGGTCGAATTAATTAATTTATATGTTTTTATACATATTTATATACACACACACCCACACACACACACATATTTATTTATTTTCAGATACATTTTAAACTTCGATTTTTTATCACATTAATTCTCACTCTAATTAGAATCACGTTTATCAAATCATCAATTTAATCAAAGTTAATATATACAAATTAGTTAATTATCACGTTAGTGATTAAATTAGACAAATAATTAAATAAATACAGATATTAAAATTCAAAATACAGCAATATGTTTTTCTTGATGGAAAAATAAAAATATCATTTGAAAATTAAGTGATATCTAATATGAAAGTTCCTTAAATTTATAAATGTATATAAGAGTATTATGAACAATCTGAATAAGGTATTAATAATCAGTTATTCTATGCATTATCTATATAATGTATAGAATGCCTGAGGCATCCATATATATATATATATATATATATATATATATATATATATATATATATATATAACTAAAGATCTAATGAAAAGTTATGCAGTTAATAATATATGATACACAATGACCTCTTTTACTTAGTTTTTATATGAAATAGATACGTATTATATATTTATTACTATTACAACTATTAATGCTATGGATTTGAAACTTGTAATAGTTTTACATAATATTAGACCAAATATATTGCAACGGAAATAATTAAAATTATTATTTTCTTTACAAAATGGAAAATCATAATATCAAAATTAATTTATTATTTAAAGTATTTATTATTTACATTACATTACATTTATTTATTTCTCCTTCTTATCTCCGAAAAGTGAAAAATCAGAAATAATTGTAATTTATAAAGATACATATAATTATAACAGTAAAAATAGAAGAATGTCTTAAACTAGCACATTTTTGAGAAGTTGATGAAATATCTTCAAACTTTCTTGTAGATCGGAACTGTTCCTAGGCGTAGTTGTGGTGTTGTAGTCTAAATAGATTATTTCTAATTGAAATAACTATAATAATTATCATATTATAATTTATTTATATAAGGTATATTTAAATCTCATATAAAAATTATAATAAGAATGTCATTTTATTTATTTATTTATTTATTACATCCACTGGGTGAGCCTTATAGTCTTCCAATACGCTCACCCAGGAATCTATATTATTCGTTACGTACCTACGTTTAATTTTTCAACAGATTCTTAATGCTAATTAAGCCAATAGATGGCGTTCTTAAAATTTAGATTGCGATATAAATATTCTACAGGAAAGTGTATAAATATCCTAGTTATGAGCATATAATTAAATTTATGCAGAATATACCAAAATTTTTTCCATGTTATACTATAACCTAACAGTTATAGCATAATACTATAGTCGCCTCTTAATACGTTTATGTTCTTCTTGGTAGATTTACAGAAGACTGTAGAATGTAATCTGACATTATATCTAGTGTTTGTAGCTTATGAGAAAGCTTTTCATTTGATTGAGACATCGGGAGTATCACAGTCCCTCCAGCTGTGCCATTGAATGTAAGTATATCAAAATCTTGAAGTGAATGAACGGTAAGGCTATGATGTCAAGAATTCGAAGGCTTCATTTGTATATTTTAAAATTGATTTATTCTTATTTTTATATTACGTAGTTTTTTTAGTTATTATTCAAAATGTATTCTCTTTCTTATCTTCGATACTTGTGACCAGAAAAAGCTGAAATAACTACAATTTGGAGAGATATATATGAATATTACAGGAAAAATAAAACGACATTTTCAACCAAACTTAATTTTGAGGTTGAGATTCTACCCATAGTACTTATACCCACGATATATATGTGAAAATACTAATTTAATACGTAATAATAATAAATATATAATACGTATATATAATCTATTTCATATAAAAACTAAGTAAAAGAGGCCATTGTGTATCATATATTATTAACTGCATAACTTTTTATTAGATCTTTAGATATATATATATATATATATACGTCAACTTGTGCTAGTTTAAAACATTCTTCTATTTTTACTGTAATAATTATATGTACCTTTATAAATTGTAATTATTTCTGATTTCCATTTTTCGGAGATAAGAAGGAGAAATAAATAAATGAAGTCCTTTCCAAGAATATTCTACTTTAAATAGTAAATTAATTTTGAAATTATAATTTTCCATTTTGTAAAGAACATAATAATTTTAATTATTTCCGTTGCAATATATTTGGTCTAATATTATGTAAAACTATTACAAGTTTCAAATCCATAGCATTATTAGTTGCTATTGTATAACGCTGTGATAGACAAAGTCACACCATAAGAGTTCCTTTGTACCTTTTTGGCATGGAGCCCTAATTACTTAGGTCAGGTTACATTAATTTTTATTTAAAATGTTCACAGGAAATCAATTTACGTTTTTTTACTAACAGTTATAAAATCAAAACGCTTCAATAGCCAAGAATCCTGGAATTAATGGAAGGTTTTTGCATTTTTTATTTCTTCTAACAATTATTTATACCGTTGATCGTCAATAATTTATCGTATCCCTTCCCCACTCCCATTGTTAACACACATAACCGACTACATTTTTGACATTTTACAGAATATCTAAGCCTAGGAATAAAATTAATAATATTTCATGTATTACCTAATTTTTTTAGGTATACTATCATTGCTTAAGTTTTGTATATAATACCAGTTTATACAGATTTCTGTGACATATACACTACGGTTAAGTAAGTTTAATTTGGCTCAATATTAATATTGCTAATTGCGATTGACATCAGTAAATGATAAATACCTCATCAATTTAAAACCAACTGACTATTATATGATAAAATTGATAGTCATTTTCATTAAGCAAGGGATCCGAATTGATTATAATATTACAAAATTATCTATGGTGAAAACAATTTTCAATTAGGTACTTTATACCCTACATCCATGTTATAAAATTTTAAACTGTATTTAGAAATTTTAATTTCATAACTAGATATTTAGATAAATATAAAACTCAAAAATTACATTACAGTTCATAATTCTGCTTATATTACACCAAAATACGTCTTATGGATTGATTGGTTTTGCATTTTCAAGGAAACATACATGTGGTTTATCATATTAATTACTTATATACTTAAGTTGCCACAAGTTAATAATACATACTAAACTAAACCAACGCCTTTATAGAGAAGAAACTGTAATAATACAAATATTAAACATCGCGTGGCAACCAGCTTGCGTTTCATGGGTTTTATGTATATTTATGGGGTACGTATATGTATAATGTTTATCTATTCTAATAATATAAAGTGGAAAGATTTGATTGTTTCTATTCAACCAATTTTAAGAATTCTTTAACATATAGAAAACTGCACTATCAGCGAGTAACCTACACTATATAGGTATTATTTTCGAAAATTTTATTTAATTGTGAAAAAAATCGGGCCTGTTCGCTTTTTTAAAACTGAATTAGGAGCAAAACGAATATAAAGATATTACTCTGTCACTTCTTATATACGGTTTAAGATATTTTTTATTTCTCTAATGATTTATACATAAATCACTTAAATGAGAAATTTAAAACTATGAACATGCACTTAATATATACTGTTAGCGAGCATAATTTATCAAACATCAACTAAAAATAAAAATAAAATGTGAAATTACCTTCATTTTATAAAAATTATACAACACAATGCGATTCAATACAACAAGTTGCTTATAATGTAAGGGCAATATCTACAATCTTCGGTTAACTGATGGTTAACTTACACTTATTGTACTATTATTTTATTATTTGTCTCATTCTGTATATACTTAAATACGTAATTCACACGCACATACATGTATATCATACATTCAAATATTATAGTTAAAAATTAACTTAATAAAGTTAGAATTAAATATGTAACTATCACACATGTACTGCAATCAGACTACTTATTACTAATAGACCGTCGAAATGTGGTGTTTCAATACTTTTTTGAACAATACAGGCGAATTTATATCTTTTATATCTCTAGGTAATTTATTATATAACTGTGCTCCCTCATAGACTATATTCTTTTCCCATAATTTGTTCTTGGATTATGTAAAATTTAATTATCTGCTTGTCTTGTGGTTTTTTTCTGAATTTGACTCTTTTTTCTTCTTCTTATATACGCGATGTGAAATTTCGCTAAATACAAAAGGTAAAATAGGTTTCGAAGTCATCTCTTTTTACAATGGGGATGTCAATGGGCGAAACAGTATATACTCTGTTATGTCCATGGTACTGCTTATGTCTATAAGCGACGGTTACCATTTTCCATATGGTACGTCATCAGCTTGTTTGCCATTCTAAGTTGCATAAAATAAATCGGGATGTACTCTTTATAAATAACTAGTGACATGGTCCGGCTCCTCACAGGTGCCGGACCATGTCAACAAATATGTTTTTTTAATGGGATACGCTGGCGGGGCACCAGTGAAGGATGATAGATGAAGCAGGTTAGTTGGCCCATCGTGACGAATTCAACAAGAATTGTTCACGATGGTTTCCAAGGGGAACCACGTGGAGGTCGACCTAATAGGGCATATTGCTAGCAATGAGGCTGTCAACTCCATTGCTAACAAACTTTATATATATTTATATATATTGTTATCAGATATTTAAATAGTTTTGATATCGTGCAGCTTTGTGGGAACGTTCATCAATTATCCGCATATTATATTGTAGACAGGATATTCATGGGAACTCACGTAATTTCATATGTACGGTATACCGTCATTTTGCAAGGCATTACAAAAAGGTACACCTAGTTTATCCGAGTCCCTAACGAGTGTGTTTTGTTCGGGTATGTATAATGTAACCTTACATTCCTCTGTTAAGGGACAGTCGCATTTCTATTAAGTCAACTCGAACCCAAACAACATGTCTCATTATCATCCCTCCTATTATACTTAAAAACTGCTACGATATAACGAGGTTTATTTTATATTCAGAAACGAGTAGGTAGATATATCAGAAACCGTCCTAAAAGGGACTTAATTTAACTGTATTTTTTTTTCGGTCATATTATACGATTTACTAATTGTAACTATTTTGATATTGATAGTGGAAAAGTGTCCACGTCTCAACTTAAAAACTGCTACGATATAACGAGGTTTATTTTATATTCAGAAACGAGTAGGTAGATATATCAGAAACCGTCCTAAAAGGGACTTAATTTAACTGTATTTTTTTTTCGGTCATATTATACGATTTACTAATTGTAACTATTTTGATATTGATAGTGGAAAAGTGTCCACGTCTCAAATGCTATATGCATTTGAGACTAAAAAAGACACAGATGAACTAAACTTTTGAAATGTAGTGCTGGATTTGTAATGAGAAGGTCCTACATAGGGTAAAGGAAAAGAGACAAATTATAAAAACTAATGTGGTCAGAAGGGAGAAAATGTTGGGAGACATAATATGACACGTCGAACTTATGAATATTAGAATAGAAGGTAAGATAGGAAGAAGAGGAAGGGGGAGACCAAAGCATTATTATATCCGGCAGTTCAAGGAAAAAGTTAGTGTCGTGTCGTATCGTATCCAGAGATGAAGAGCTTGCTAAAAATCATAGTTAGTGGCAAAAACTCCACCGACAAGAACTTAAATAAATATTCTGAAATATAAAAATTCTTAAATTGGAAAAAAGAGGGCATTAATATAAGATTTTATTTTACAAAAACAAACTTTTATCATAAGAAAAGTAATAATTTATGTATTTAAATACATGTGTGAGATTAATCTCACACACACATACACGCATGCACATATCACTCATGCACGCACGCACTCAAGCATGCACGTACGCACATATACACATAAACAACGTATCATAATAAATGTAAGTATAGAATACAGTAAATAGTTCTATTATAAGAAGTAGCCAAATGTCTCGGAGACTAAATACCTAATAATACAAATGTTAAAAACACCTAAGTTATTTAGTAAGTAATCGTAATAAAACAATTAGTTTGAAGATAGATTTTGAGGCTATAATCTCACAAATTGTTGTCAATTAAAGAAACCCTTTAAACTAAAAATACAGTTATACAGTTTTTAAAGTTTTTGTTTCACAAAGAAATGTTAATAACTTTATCAATCTCTTTGCAAATTTTAATTTCTCAAAAAACATGGCGTCAAAGTGCAAAATATAGATACAAGATCAAATATAAAACGTACTGTGTGTCTATTAATTATATATAATCAATACATTTTTCTGACAACAGACTTAAAATAAAAATATTATAAATTTTCCCAAAACGACGAAACTCGCGAATTAATAAAATGTCAATATCCAAACTCTTATCGTTGACTTCTATAAACGTATCCATAAATAACATGTAAGAGTCACCTTACATTATTAATAAAAATTGTTAATTTCCGTATGTAGGTCGCAAATTTTAATCGCCGACATAAGAACACAGGTGGCACGGCACAACAATACGGGGTCACCCCGTCTCTTATTTTAGCTGCTGTGGGCTTTGGGCACTGACGATTAATTAGGTTTCACCGTGTGACGTCTAATTAACCCGGCCACTTGCAAACTCAGTTAGCTGGGAATATCTGTACCCTTTGTTTTTTATTATTTATGTTTAGCAAATTGGAGACATTTCATAATTTTGGTAAATTCACGTGTAGAATTACCGCTCAGCGAATTATGATTATAGTATAGTTTACTAAATTGTAATAGTCAAAAAATTATTTTACTTATAAATGTTTTATAAAAATGTTAGTGAATATATCTATCTACTATAAGCATACTTATCTAAAACGGTGAAATATGAAATAATAAGATACTTATAATTTTCATATTCAACTGTTATCTCCAAATTTATGATATCGATCAATATATAATAGTGATATCTATAATAAAGGTAAATAAGTAATATTTTGGTCTGGCAAAATTATTTGTGGAATATACGACAGATTGAATATGATGCTCAATTCCGCGCCCTTTCTCTGTAACCCTATTACTGTATTATGAATTTAATGCTATTAAATTGAAAGACAAGAGCCGTTGTTTGCTTCAGACGGAGATAGATGGTTTGACTGGCACCATACGGTTCAATGAAGAAGGTCACAGGAAAAACTTCACGTTACAAGTTATGGAACTTACTGTCGATGGAGATATGGTGAAGGTATGGAATTAAAAAATTATAAGAGTGCGAAGTTTAGATGTGGAAGATACTTAATTACTTAACAAAAAACTAATCATCTTTATGGCTGTAGGCTTATTGTCATCAAGATGATTAGCTTATATATCTATTTTTATATTTCCATCATCACTATCTCATCAATGTTTACTACTGAACAATGTCGGCGACGAATTACTATAATCATTTTTTGCGGAAAAAAGAGGAATAGTTACAGTTATTGAAATTATACCATATAACTACTGAAAAGTTAAAATCTATGACATATAGAGTATACGAAAAGAAATAATGTAAAACCAATGCAAAATGCAAAGTCACTTAAAAATCCATTAATTCAATGCCTTTTTTATTATATAAAAATTCATAATACTCTCATTTTACAAATATGCATTAAAACTCAACTTTATCTACCTAATTCGATGCACGTAGTGAAATAATCCACCTCAGTGTTGTTAGGTTAACGTAAATAAGAATAAAACGAAAATATTAAATAGAACATCATAAGCTTCATCACAATATTAACATTCAAGTCCCGAAAATTTTACCACGGCCAAATCTCTACAGATATAATAAAAACAAATTAATTATGTTTCCTGTCCGAAATGATTAGTGAATAGTCTTAAATTAAAAGCATTAAAGTATTTAATAATATTAAAATATTTAAAGTTAAATTAAAAGTGACCACATCACTAAAATATTTTATTTTTATTACAGTGAATTCCAATGGTGAAACTGAACATCTAATAAATATGTTCAAAAGTGATGTAATGGATAAACTATACCTAATGTTGATAATCCTAAATAAATGAGTTAAAATAATGATGATGATAATAATGATAACGATAAGACTTTCTGTAAAATTAAAAATTAATAATATAAACCAGTAGGTAATCCTTCGTGTAGATTTTCAAAATGAATATTGTAAATTATACCTAATTATTTAATTACAAGTCACAACATTTATTGTTATTATTAAGAAATCAGAAAAATAATACGCTATATAACACTTATATTTCGTTTTCATATTTTTATTTCTATTATAGAACTTAGTAGACTTCTTACTTAATGACTTAAACAAGAATTTCATTAACTTTATATATGTATCTGTAGTAACTTAATAAAATGTTTGTTAATCAATTATATATAATATAATAAATAAAACGTAAGTTTGAAAGAAGAATATATTATTATTTATATTTAGAGTTTCAATTCTACTTTTATTATTTGATTAAAGATTTATTGTTTAAATTAAATATTCTGAAAACAGATCGCAACATGGTACGACCACAAGGGTTTCGTCCCAGCAGTCTCCAAACTGTCGCCGCTCAGTATCCCAGGGCTGTACAACCGCAACAAAACATACATAGTGTCCACCATCGAAGAACCTCCGTACATTATGCGGCAGAGCCCTGACCCCCAAGGAACTAACGACCCTTACAAGGGATTCTGTATCGACCTTGCCAACATGCTATCGGAGAAGTTAGAAATCAAATGTAAAGTCACTTTGTTATATTGTCTTTACAAATTTGAAATGTTTCAATAACTTTCACTATAATTAGCCGTATTTATTATTGTATGAGAGAAACTTGATTTAATTGGTTATAACAATATCATACTTGTTTATTTTCATTAAACAGTAAGAAATGTTAATAATACCAATAACATAAAACTTGTGTTTGCATGTTTTTTTTTTAATGGAATGTAATGGAATGGATGGTAATGAAAAACCTCGCCTACGCTATCGGTATACCCTGGCAGGGCACCAGTGAGATATGATAGGTGAGGATGAAGCAGGTCTATTAGCCCGTCGTGACAAATTCACTAATGAATCAATCACGATAATTTCCAGAGTAAACCGCGAGGAGGTCGATCTGATAGGGTATATTGCTAGTAATAAGGTTGCTCATCCCATTATTAACAATCCCTTTCCCCCTTTGTTTGCATGTTAATCAATACTTTAAATACGACTATAATTAAAATAATCAAATACAAGCAAAAATTACTTAAAATATTGATATTCAGTAACGGGAAAAATGCTACATATCTGATAAAATTTTATATATTCCTAATAATTATTGTATTTTTTTCATATTTCTTTCCTAATAATTACATTACAAGTTCTTTTTTTTTTATATACCCGTTGTTCTTCATATCTTATAAGAGCTGTTCAACATATTCGAAGTTTTTAATCAATATTTTTACTTAATTTATTTAATGACTATAATAAAATGGAAAGGTTTTTTTTACCTAGATTATACTAGATACACGTAGTATGGGACGATAACATAAAATGAAAAAAATCACGAATTTTCACGTGCGTAATCCGTTTCCTCGCACTCACTTGAGTTCCCCCAAAAACCCTTTCTTAGTGATGAGCATCACGTGAGGAACTCTTCTAGAAAATTGTTAAATTTATAGGTTATGAAGGTCTAGAGGTTTCCTAAATAAGATATTTGAGGACTTTTATACATACATATGTACAAAATTTGATAAGAAGAAACGTAATAATCCTCTTCTAGATTATATTTATATAATAATATTATTATTTATACTATTAACGCATACTCGTCTACAGCAATTTCTTGAATTGTAATTATTTCTAAAATATAATTGACGCAAATTCACAAAAAAAAAAAAAAACAAGAAAACGAATTTGCGCTAGTAAGCCAAAGACAAGTTAGGTTTATAACATAAACGTTACAGTAAAAACCGTTAATTTTAATTAAAATTAAAACTAATTTATTTTAATATATTTTTAGATGAAATACGGTTGGTCAAAGATGGCAAATACGGAAATGAAAATCCCAAAATAGTTGGTGGTTGGGACGGTATGATTGGAGAATTACTAAGAAAGGTACGTAATACTTTATAACAGATAATTTTTACATTATATATGTATAATACAAATAAAAATATTCTTATGCAAAAAGTAGTGATTTTTACGAAGTCTTTACCTTTTTCTTTAACATAATTTTAAAAACACTAAACGACAATTACTAATTGGTAACTATAATTTCAAAAAAAACTACAAAGTACCAAAGTTATTTTTAATGAACATTATTATTTGAAAGTTAAGTGAGTTTTATAATTATTTTGCATATTTCATATCAATTTTGACGAAGTAATTGAAAGTTAAATAATTGACGTAAACGAATAATGACTCGTCTGTGAAATTTCTTCGGAAAAACTTCTTAATTACATAAATACTCTGTAGACGTTGTGTCCCTAAAAATTGAATTTAAATAAACATTGTATTGCGATGGAATAAAATTATCTTCGCAAACTTTGTCAATTTCATCTAATAATAAAGTGGAGGACACGGGTTGCTTTGGAGCCTCGATATTTGCGATGCGATAAAATAGTAAACTTATTCCTATAATATAACCTCCGTAGATGGTTTCCCTTTTCATAGGAACTTACGGCATATAAATCTCGAACGTCGTTCCCTTTATCGTACACATCTATAAATTACGTAGTTACCAATACCAATACTCGTGAAAAAAAAAAAGATTATACTTAAATTATACTTATTTGCTATATAATATACTTAAATTATGCTTATTGCAAATATCTTTTTGAAAAAATCTATATTACCTACATCTATATACAAAATTTATATTACAAAAGTAAATTAAAGTTACAAGTAAATATTATTTCTTAGTTAGTTACTTGTCAATTATTACTTTTGAAGTTTCTCAAAAGAAAATGTTTACTACACGAATTATAATTTATTTCATAAATCCTTTGAAGAAATAGGTAGCTGTATTTCGTTAATCATATATTGAATTTTATTACTTTGTATAATAAAATATTACGTTTATGTAATATTAGCGAATACATATAGAATCTACCACATATCTACTTATGAAATTAGTGCCGAACTAATAATATATTTTTGAAGGGCATATGGCGTTGGCACACTATACTACTGTTTACTACATAAAATACTTATGATATAAATAAGGGGATTTCTTCGAGATTTCTTATTTTAAACTAACTTATTTTTACTATTATACTGTTTTGCCACTTTCATTCAAACTGAAAATATAGCCCGAAAGAAAGAGACAAAACAACGTTTTCAAAAAACGTAGGTTTGACGTTTTTATGTATAAGATGGCAAGTGTTAAGAATATATAGCTACTAACTTAATTTTTCTTATTTACAGGAAGTAGACATAGTTATAGCACCACTAACAGTAACATTAGAGAGGGAGACCGTGGTAGACTTCAGTAAACCTTTCTTATCCTTTGATCTTAAACCAAGTAGTGGTATTAGTAAGGACCGAGGCACTATATTTAGCTTCCTTAATCCACTTTCGAAAGAAATTTGGGTGAGTCTGAATTCTTTTTCTTTTTAATTATTCTTACTTATTATATGAGTGAAAAACTTCACTAAATTAATAATCCCTTGGTCTGACTACGAGTATATGTAGTAAAAAAAATCAAGATAAACAATTTTGAATTCTGAATTAATAGTCATAAAACATAAATTATTACTTACGATATTTTATTGACACAGCATCTTAAAGATACACCTCGAATATTATTGTACTTATGGAGTGTTTAAATCATCCAACGGGCAGTGCAGCAACTGATAACGTGATCAACTTAAAATGATAGGTATATCCTGCCAAACATTGGTTAGCAATATTCTACATTTTACTAAAGTTTATTCTAAAATATACTGAAATATTGCCAATATCTAAAAACCTGGATACACATTCATATATATAATACCACATAATTTATAATAACATCTAACAAACATTTCTCTTTTTCTCTCCGCAATCGAATAACTTTTATGTATTTTCTTAGATTATTACTTCTATAACAATTTAAGTTCATATTTTGGCTTATTAAATATAGAATTTTAAAAAGTATTTCGATTTGAGATTTTTAGCCAAAAGAATCTTTAAAGATAGTCACACTGCTAGTAAGTGAAATGCGAATAATGTAATTTAAATCTTGAATGCTCTTCGGTAGTAAATATCACCTCACTGATCGTCTGAAATATTGTATATGAGTAAATAATGAACATTTTGTACTTTATCATATTTTTCCTTTAATAACTTTACATATATTTTCAGCTATGTATCATATTCAGTATCTTCGCCGTTAGTGTGGTTTTATTTCTTGTGTCGAGATTCTCCCCTTACGAGTGGCGGGTTGTCTCCTTTACCGACACCCAGTCGTCTGAGCACACGGAAGTTGCAACTACTAAGGTAAACATCTTAGTTTTTATTACTGGAAAAGAAATGAAGCCGCCTTTACTAATATTGTAAATGTGAATGTGACTTTTTTTATTTATTTGTCTGTTTATTTATTCCTTACCTCTACCTCTACCCTTTGTGATCGTTATGAAATTTAGTACGCACGTAGAATATGAAAAGGATAAGGATATAAAAAGTAGTTTACTTTTTATAACTGATCGCCAACAAATTCTAATAATGCGGACGAAGTAATGAATAAAAAAATGTTAAAAATAATATATATATATATATATATATATATATATATATATATATATATATATACAGCATCTATTATTATCCCTTTTTATATTTTGTCTTACAATTTTCTTTAGCCACTGATGAAAGGTCTAAGACTTACTATAAATTCATTTAGACAACTTAAAATTTTACTGTAATTCAATACTAAACTGATTTATTGAATCTATTTTAATTTATACCGTTGTTAGATTTGCTCCGAATTCCGTTCCTTTAATCTCATAGGTAGATTAATTTTATAATCCTATTGATACTTGCCGCATGACCTAATTCGTTTTATAAATATTTACTTCCTGTACCATTGAATTGTACAAACCGATATCTATATAGATAGATATATTATAATTATTATTTTATATGATAATTTTATATGAAAATACTTTAAGATTATGTTCCACAAAAACTGACTTCAATCGTGGCAAGGCGAGTATTTTGATTTAAAAGCTGATCTACTAAACCGATTTTGATAAAATTTCTAGAAAAAAGAATTTTCCAAATAAATTTCTAACTTATAGAGTTATAAGCTAACACACATAAAATAAATACAACCGAATTGAGAAACTATTTCTTTTTGAAGTCGGTTGATTAAGTTTGCTTTTATAATGTTCCAAAAGATTTATTTTAGAATCGGTTGGTTGATAAAAAGTACTTGTTAATATTATATATATATATATATATATATATATATATATATATATATATAATTTTTTTTTCAGTATTAATTTTTATGTAGAAGTACCAAATAAGATTTATCTGAAGTCTTAGTTAGCGTATTTGCTTTTAGGGCGAAAAATGTGTATGCTAATTAAGTACAATAATACTGAAAAATCTATTTAAATTTGGGCCATAGATATTATAATAGTATATGTATGTTAGTTTATTACTTTTTGGCTCCTTAACTAATCATCGTGAAATTTGGCATACAGTTAATTATGAAATAGAAAAATATATAAACTACTTTTATCCTGATCAATATCTAGACTCTAAAAATTATTATTTTATATAATGTTAACATGATTATTTCAAATTCCTTACAATGTTGCAGACTACTGTCATCAATGAATTTAGCTTCTGGAATTCTATGTGGTTTTCGTTGGGCTCGTTCATGCAGCAGGGAAGTGAAATTACTCCGAGGTCAGTGAACTTATAAATATTGAGTGTTCCATTTAATTTTTATTATAAAGCAATCATGACTAACACGTTATTATGATACCTAAGCATACTACACTGCGCAGTATATTCCGACGTCTAAAAGTAATTTCCTGAGACAGAAATGACAAAATATTATTCATTCATACATCGTGACAACCAATTACCATATAAATGTAGTTTATGAAATATTTATTTCAGGTCTATGTCTGGGAGGATAGTCGGTTCAGTGTGGTGGTTCTTTACACTAATAGTAATATCCTCATACACCGCAAACATGGCATCTTATTTAACACTCGCACGTATATCAGAACCCAATCATTCTTATGGGAAAATTGCCACGTGCCCCGAGGTAATATGCTTGTACAATTACGTAATATAGTTTGTAAATATTCCTACTTCATTTCTGCGATGCGATTAGTTAAATTTCTGTTATATTAATATAACAAGATATTGTCATACACTATATGTATATATCCATAAACATATACATACACACTTTAGTACTTTGTCACACTGAAATTAGTTCTAATTTTCCTTTAAATAATTATTATAATAATCGTTTAATACTCGAAATACAAAACTGTTCGTATCTTGTTACACAATACTAATTACATATAGTTTATGGCTCGGCCGCAAATATAAATTACTACGGTAAAAGCCGTAGCCGTTCCCGTATTCTCTCTGTGAATTTATCGAAACGGTTCAATAGTGGGCAATAAGCGTTAATCGTTGACCCGCTCAGGGAAAAATGGTCAAACAATAGGTAACTGTGTATAAGTAAATCACATCTACTTCAACCTCTAATACATTTCGAAGACAAGTTAATTATTGGGAATGTATCGCTGGCAATAAATTTGTTATATATAAGTTATTATGTCAATTTTGATAACGACAAATACTACACTCTTACCTACTTGTACCTTGAATGGCAATATGTGCATTATTGTTTGAAGGATACAGCTAATACAATCTCTAATACATAAGGCATAAATAGTAAAATTATCTTAAGAACACTTTATTTTGTAATGTTTATAATTATATTTTCATCTATATAATGCTGGTTAACTAAAACTTATTTCCCACTGCTAAAATTAAAATAAAATGGAAACATTTTGGAAAGATCAAAAAGCTCTATATATACAAATTATGTATTAAAAAAAAAAAAAACAAAAATCGTATATTATTTTTGGTAAATAATAAACCTGTCGAATGATAATAATAGTCATGATTATTATATGACACTAATTCATGATTGTTTATATCAATTTTACATACATACTTAGCTAATCAGGCAAACCCTGAAGCCAAATACGCATACAAAATCAATATAAATAATAAATCAGAAAGGATAATTTCTGAAGAAAACGTCTGACATTACTATCTAATACTTATAAATATTTTGCTTATAAAAAATCATATTTCAGGATACATCAGAGACACAAAGAGGCATTGCAATTCCTCACGATAATGCTGCAGATGAGCATGGCTGGCTAGCTTTTCTTATTGACAAATCAGCTAATTCACCAGACAATGTTCACCAACCACCTTGCGAGATGCTCGTAACAATTTCGAGTACTGGAGTAAAAGACTTTGCTATTGCACTACCCAAAGGATCCAAACTTCGGTGCGCATCTTTGTAGTATGAATTTCCTTTAAGCCTTAGCGATTATTGCAATGCGATTTTTATTGCGAATTCTTAGCGATCTGATTCACTATCTTTTCTAGTATCGCAATGTCTATTTTTAATAATGCAGCAATTTATTATTGAGTGTAAAAGTTGAAGAATAATAATTGAGGTTTTTTGTAGGGACGGCGTCAACTTAGCATTACAGTCTCTAAAGAATGAAGGTGAAATACAAAAGCTTGTACGTAAATGGTTCACGAAGGCTGAATGTGATATTAGTGATCAGGTTTGTTTCCTTAAAGTATCTATTTAGAATTAAAATGACAAAGTTCTTGATACATAAAGTATCTCATGTGCTATCATATCAATACAGTATTATTTATTTAAACTTTAATGCACAGTGTATGTACATTTGGCGGGCATAACACAAGATGGTTTTTTTTACCATTACTACTAATCATGGGGCAAATAAATGGGTGGGCGGTGCATTTATAAATGAAAGAAACAAACATATTATTGATGATTTATTGCTTTTTTGTGACAGAACATTCGAGGAACCGAGTTAACATTGAGTCAAGTAGCAGGACTGTTTTATGTATTGATGGCGGGCTTGGCTCTTGCTCTCGCTGTCGCACTTCTTGAATTCTGCCAGCATGGACGAGCAGAAGCAGCGCGCGCAAATATACCACTTGGGACAGCCTTGAAAGCCAAAGCTCGCTTGGCATCGCGTGCGGAACGTAAAACTCCTCCACAACGCACACCACAGCGTGACCACGATCGTCTAGGGTGGAACGGGGGTGCATTTACTGGTGTAAGTGCATTAGTAACAAACAATATAACGTTGTAGTTAAAGATACTTTTTTAATATCTTTACAGGATGACATTCGTAGAATTAATCAAAATCTATATACGAAAACATTTTTTTAGTCATATACACTAAATGTTAAAAATATTTTCATATTTTTACTAGGTATGTCATAGAAATAAAAGTTGTTAATTTTCATGAATACTACCTTTTGTGTTGAGGTGGATATACACTTTACAACTAAACCTCTATAATGTAACAAGTCAACATACAAAATATAATCTGTCATGCTTCATTATCTTGTAATTTCATAGTAAGTAAATGAAACCTATTAATAAATCAAATTATTTCTGTAGTTATTGTCAGCTTATGTTCATATCGAAGCTAGTTAGAATATGACAATGTCGGAATTATTATTCAATTATCAAAAACAATTGAATTATTTCCAATCTTTCTATTTCATTATTTAAAGGTGCACCCTTAGTAATAAAACTATTGTTAATTATGCAATAAGGTTTTTATTAAGATATCACGAATAATTTACTTTCTTATACATAAAAACTAAAATCTCCTACAAACTTAATTCAACTATTTAACACTTTCTTTCAAATTGGGTACTTATTATATGACGTTTGACATTCATATAAATAGAAGACTTTAATATTAATGGCAAAAGAAGTATTTGAAAGCGTCGACGGCAAAATATTAAGTAGGTGCAAGATGTTGAATGTCAAATTTATGTGTAACTTAATCTACATATGATCAACGTTTTAGTTCGCAATCAAAGTACTTTTTAAATAAATTAGAAATATTGAAAACTATTCAATTATTTATGAAAATTGTCAGAAAATTCCGACATTGAGTCTATAGCAAGAGTCAGTCAGTCAGCTCTTTAATGCTTTTCCTTTTTTAACAGTATTATTCACCAGCCAACCAAATCGGACAAGAGGAGACAGCTCTTCACGCCAGTTTCACGCAGGTCTGATCCTCAACCAGGGACGCTGGCATCCTCCGCCGGCCGTCCCACTCGAAACAACTTTCAAGCTCAGTTGATCTTTACCAACTGTAATCAAAATCGAGTAGGTAATTGCAGGTAGTCTATTGATAGTGCTCTATTTGTTTATTTGTGTATTAAATCAATTATTATTACAATTAAAATGAATACAATTAAAAACGAGATCATTATCTCGTTTTTAATTATATCACGGTCAAAACCTTTACCAATACAGTTCGTAAAATTAAACTCAACAATTGAACATCTTGTTAAACAATCTATAGTTATTTCAAATTCTATACAAGACATTTTAAAAAATAATATTTATATACAAGTAGTATTTTTAGATATTATTATACTCAAATCACGCTTTATTAATACTTTAAAAAATATTGATACTTATTTTAATACAAATAAAAAAATACCCCTCCAAAAAAGTACTATCAATAGATCGTCTACATCAAAGAAACAGACTTAACCATAATGGTACGATTAGGTATGATTGAGTAGGAGAGTTTGAGGAACTGCTTTTAAAAGTCTTCTAATCAAAAATGTATGAATCTTTAAATCTTCTTTACATGAAAGTATACTATACGATTTGGGCTTCCGTTTTTGGTTAGAGGACGTTTTACTTATATTGTGGTAATTTGTGTTACAAAATTACATCTATAAATTAGATGTACTGTAAATACTACTACGTCGACTCATTCCGAAATTCCTTCTCCATTCCTTTTTTAATATTAATATTGTTTAATGTGGAAATACGTGTATTAATAATAATGTTTTGTGGTTGTATTAAAACATTCCCTTATTGTTGTTGTAGAGGTTTCATCGGATAATTGTTGTACAATTATAGTCACTATTTATAATTTAAATAAATACTGTACATGATCGATAAACGTTAGTAGGAGATGAACATGATTATTGATATATAATGTGTATATATAAACTCTTAAAAGAAGAAAATACGAGTATGACACTACCTATCTTTTAATTTTGTTGTATTAAATTTTCATCCGCTTAGATAGCCAGCATAAACCTATCGACTGATATTAATTTTAAGTAAAATTGTCGTTATAATATAATCTTTTGGATTATTTTATATGAGTGAACTTAATGTTACATTTATGTGTATATTTTTTTAATAGAGGGAATATTTTTCGGTTTTATAAAAGTATGAGTAAAAGTACTAAATATTTGCCACAAACTATAATTTATTTACGCTATAGCGTAAACAGCGTGGCGGATTTTTAGACATGGGATATCGTTACATTTATTTGAATTATGGGAATGCATACATGATAATCACACTAAGTAAATCTGACCGTCATATACTTTTTGTAACATTGTTGAAGTTGTTGTTCTAACTTTTTTCTTGAAAATTATATTTTTATGAGTGTTTAAAATAACACAAATGTAAGTATTTACAATAACATGCATTGTAAAACATTTTATATTAATTTATAAATCTTTCTAATAATAAATAGCTTGTGTTAGAATTACAAAATAAAATCACTTAATTCTAATTTTCATTGGTATTTGATTATATACCACAATAGTATTTGCTTCATTGTCTTAATCATAATATATATAAGAATAAATAGAAATCTAAACGTCAAATATAAAGTAGAAATATGAAATGACTTTTATTCGTTGTAAAAGAACAGTATTTTTTTCATAAATAGCGACTATAAATATATTTATAATAGAAGCTATTTAAAATGTCTGCTGAAATTAAAAATGTATTAAATCCATATCAGCTAATCTATTTTACAACTGAGTATCTGTGTAACTAGGGTTGTCATTTATAAAATGCACAAATCAAGAAAAATAATCTAAAAGATATTTCAAAAGCTTAAAAATTCGATGTTTTAAAGTTTATGAATAATAAAATTACTCGAGAATATAAAACTACTTCTGAGAAATTAAAATCCAAACTATATGGAAATCCCCATCTGGATGGTTTCCGTACATCTTCCAAAATTTCTTAATGGCAACCCTAAGAAGAAGATAAAATTAAACATCTATCCACATATTATCCGAAGAAACCTGAATAAAAAAATTATATCATCCATTTTATAATAATAGAATTTAATAGAAGAATTCAGCCAATTTTAGTATTCGTGAATTATTAGAATTATAGTGCTGTTTTTTTTATTAAAATTACCCACTATTGCTGTGAATCGTGGTAATATTTTCTTTTTATCTGTGTTATCCTATAATTCCTTACCACAGGCTAAGTGAGTGATAATTGTTAAAAAATTAAATAATGTATAATATCAAACCTAGGTTAGGTTTGATATTATACATGATTTAATTTTAAATAATGTATAATTTTAAACCTAACCTGCCTTTTTAGACAGGTAAACAGAATCGTATACAATTTATAACATACGACCTTGATTTAAAATCGCTAATTCACTTCTTAAGTCCTGGTGGTTATTAATAAGTAGATAAATATCAGGGTCTTATACTATATATTTAGTATGTAAAAACTTTTTCAATTAGACAACATAAACCTTAAATTCTAAACTTGTAACAGATAGATAGATAAAGGTTAAATGTGACAAGCTAATGAATAATTTTCTTCCGTCACTATTGTTCCAGCTGTAATTAACTGATTCGCAGCAAACTATTTTCAAATAATTGTAATTACATCCTGTAATTAAATATCTGTTAATAATAATGTTTATCAGGTTTGTATTACAAGAGAAAATTCTACACGTATTACTAAATATGCACTCGCTTTGTATTATATTGAACAATTTAGTTTTATCTAATTGATCAATTTCTATTATTATTTAAAACAAACTGTAAGAATTCTTATTAGTTCAAAGAAAAAACCATAATTATAGTATAATGTAAATTGTTTTATTAAAAATTCAATTACTTTTACAATAAAATAATTTCGGGTATCCAAATTGGTATGAAACCTTATCAAATATGAATGTAAAAAAAATATTGTTTTATCTATATTAGAGATCAGAATAGATTTTAGTGTTTAAAGTAAATTAAAAAAAAACTACTTAATTCTAAAATAAATTTAATGTAATGTACTGGTAACGTTGCTGTGTGATAAATATAAATTATAATGGTTAATTTTACCATTAGTTTTTAGATAGGGCTTAACATACAATTTTCAATATCGATTTCAACTCCATTTTCATGATAATAATCATTGGTGATACATAAGATTCACACATCTGTATAATTCTATACATTCATAAAAATCATCAGACAGAGTTTCAAACAAATTTGTTTTACAATATTAATGCATTGTAAATAATCATTTATTTCTTCACATTTAAATGTAAGATTGTTTTAAATATTGTTATTATTAAGGTACTGCCAAAGGCACGATATAAGTGAATCATATCAACCAAAATATAACAATAAAGTTGGAACAAGTCTAGACATATTTGTTTCTTTCTACAGACTACAACTACTAGTGTTATTATTATTCAGCTTCTTTACGCTTCCGTCCTTGCAGGTATATTATGGTTTTATATAATTTTTTATCTGAGAATTTATTAATATCTTTTTTATTTAATTTCAGCCAAAATATGTACTGTGTGAGACTTGATTTACTTTATTTAGCAAACATAATAATTCCTTAATTTGTTTAAGTAAATTTTATTATTGACTTTGAATAAAAAAAAATTACATTGTTTCATGTATCTAATAAAATTGATAATTGTCAAAATAATTCAAAATTCGGGATAAATTTTCAAACTGTGTTACAATAGTAATTTTGAAAATAGTTAAATATTGTGTTCAATTATTTATATTGTAGTGGTATGTACTGGGTGTATAAAAATATTGTGCCAAAACTACGTTGAATTTCAATGTTTTTACATGTAAATGAAGCGATCCACACTACCAATTGTAATGGGAATGTAATAATGTATGCGGTTACATCCGTCCGTCAGTGAAGGCTGATCTCTTCCTCCCGGCGTGCTGTTAAATTAATTTGACGAATGTTTATTTATTTTATAAATACCTACAACTACTATTGACCTTATTTATTTTTATTTTAAATCAAATGGATTATTAAGTATACTCCTTGCAATTATAAGGTCACACTAATTCTTAAATTAAATATACTTAAGATATTCTGACTGTTATGTTTGCTTTTTTTCTTTTCTTTTTCCTATTATAATTTTAAAATATTATAGATGAATATAGATTTATTTAAGAATTCTGATAATATATTTATATATTAATATTTGTTACTAAAGTTTACAGATAAAAGTGATATTATTAACTAATATTTATTTTATCAAAATACTGTGTTTTAGATTTATTGCATTTATAGCATTGAAATGCAATAATGATTGTATGTATACTATAGAATTCAGTTATATTTCTATTTAAGTTTACTTGTACTGTTAAAATATATTAATATTTACGAATATTGTTAATACAGCAGTATTTATTTTGACATTATCTTATATAATTTTTTTTTAAACACTAATAAATTAATCAATTCAACATTAATGAATATTTGTCCCTGAATATAATAAGACAAACATTACGTGACAAGAAATGTCCAAAATAAATGAATTTTTATTTAACTGGCAAATAAAAGCTTATACGTTGACAATAAATCATTTTTCAAATGTCATATTTGCAATGATAAACGATGCCTAAATTTTAAAAATACATAACGCGTTCGTTTCGGTCCTGGTTACAATAAATCGTCAATCCATTTTAGGTTTATTATATACACAGCCGAAGTAAATAAAATGCAACCCTTAAATAAGTTTCTGCTCTTTATTTTCGATTGTATTTCCTTATTGTTGAGCCTAATTACATTTTAAAGTAAATATACAAAAATAAATTATCTATTATATTTATTTCTACAGTAGAAGTAATATAAAAGTATTGTTAAGTTAATATTATTCTTCAAACGACTGATTTACATAATCTTTTCATTGAACATAGTATATAGATTTAAGACACATTTTAATATGTTAACGTTAAAGTAACAAGGTATGTCTCGTTTACTGGCCATTTAGGTCATTCCTATAAAGGAAATAGTTTTAATAATCATTCATGGAATACATATAAATCAATGTCTGAACGTAACACTGTATGTATTACAACTTATTTACATAGCATTACGATAAATTAACCAGTACCTATGTGAAGACTACCTAATATAAATGTTTGTTATAATGAACAAAAATAAATTAATTAACACCCATATCTGATTTTTATTTAAAAATAGATCACTTTTAGTTAATGTTCTAATAAATGTATAATTAAAAACTTAAAAATTAATATTGTAATACTCCAGTACTACAGCTACTTCTCTAGCCAAGTGATTCTATTTACACCGCGTTTCCACCAAATATATGTTACATATATATTGCCGTGTGATCCTGGTATTGAATAGGCCACCTCTCTTTCTTGTGAGTGTTGTAAGAGGTGACTAAGATAACTTAATGGTCAAAGGATGGGCTGTAGCGTCATTCTTAAAACATCACCAAACAAGCACTATACTAATAATCAAACGGAAGCTACACTTAGAGCTCAGGTAAATGATTCTAACTTCGTTTAGCTTAACTATGTGAAGTAAGTATCGCTAAACTCTCTGAACTGAAGAACATACAAAACTTAGGATAAATATGTAGTAACATATATGTAGTACTAGACTGAATATTACGAACGGAGGTATCTCTTTACTATTGCGCTCCCACCTTAGCTAAGATAGTTCAATTAGTTAATTCGCTTAGTTTAACTCTATAGTTTGCTGTATGAAGTGTAAAAAGACCCCGCAGCTATATGCGCAATAAACTTAGCTTAGCTCTTGATGTAGTTTTTGCTTTATGGTTAACTGATATTGACCGAAATCTGCCTGCAAAGTGCGAAGCGATCGATAATGAGCAGCAGTCCTATTTAAACAGGAAGCATGCTAATATTCTGTCATTCTACCTTCACTTTCGTCTCTATATCAAAATTCCCAGAAAATATTCAATAGACTTTCATGAAATCAGATCATATTTAGTCGATTCTCTTTGAGCAAAGCACAAAAAGTTGATATTAGGTACTTCGCTTTGATCCCGTAAGCCACCCTAGTTAAAGCTGAGTTCACGCCATCCGTATTCGTGGAAACCCCGTAACTGTTTGAGAAATATTCACAACTATTTACCGTTTCACCGAACAAGTTGGACTTTACCATAAAACTTAAATAAGTTTTCTCTTTTCTATCTTTGTAGTTATGTTTGCTTTGGTGTTTTTATTTGGTTATGTTGTACGATGTCTTCACATTTTGTCATTCTCGTTTTGTTTTGGTATTCTTTTATTTTCATGAACAGATCATAGTATTTTCTGAGAAGCAATATT